ATTGGCGAGCCCATTGGGGTGCCCTTTACTTGCTGATAGTACTTGCCATCAAGTTAACAATAGTTCTTGAGACAGAGCTTAAGCATGTCCAACACGTGCTGTTTCGGAATATCAATAGGATTTTCATCTAGGTGCCGCTCTATAATATCGATAGTCAAAACGTGCGGTTTAGAACGTGCGGTATGTTATTCAGCAATTTAAATGAATTACCCAAGAAAAATACCTGTCTCACTTATCTAAATGATGTTTTAGGAAATAAAGGTAGCGCCCCACGTTGGATCCCAGATCAGCACACCAAAACTCCTTCCTCCTGTAATACAGGACTGGGTGAAACAAAAGGCATAGAGTCTCGGCAATACTAAGCATAGGAAATATAAATAAAACCTATATCGAGTTGGACTCCAGAAGGTGAGTGAATCACACATATGTTTCTGTTTATTTTATTCGTGCTAACAATAAGACAACTCTAATACGACTAACCGAATATCCTGCTTGTAGATATGTACATATCCCGATCGAAAACCCCATGTTGATCAATGCTAATGTCACAGAAGTGCGTCATGGTGGATCTTACGTTGGGTTTATGTGCGGCACCGCAACTGCAGAAGACACATTGGAGGACTCGCGAGGTTTTGAGTTATTCAGCTATATGCAATTAGCAGTACAGTTTTTGCAAAACACTACATCATCCCGTATGTTTTGTCTCCTTTCCTTTGAGCCGGAATTGGATGCGATTGGGGAGGTAACGGATGAAGTTCAAAGGGAGGAGGAGATGAACTACAGCACGGAAAGTGAAAATGAAGTTGAAGAGAAAGGAGCAGAAGAAAACGAGAATGAAGAAAATAGGGAAGATGAGAGAGATGTGGAGACGAGCTGCGATGCTCTTTTGGAAGAAGCGGGGGAGAAAAGTAAAGACGAGGCATCGCTAAGCCATCTACATTTTGATGTGGAAGATGCTGTACAGACACCAATATTGGCCACCCGTGTGACAGAATCGAATGTGGATAAACTCACTCAGACTACATTGAATTCTGCCGAAGAACTCAAAACGCAACTCTTCTCATCGAGGAGACGGCGTCCGTCACGAAATTGGAAGGACGTACTCCAGTTCTCAGGTGAATTAATTCTTCCTCAAATAGCATGCCAACTATCGATTTTATTACCTATTGTTGTCACCACTTGCACCAGAATAGCCACCTCTCATTTCATTAATGTCAACTATTTTAGGATCCAATATGCTCCTGGATCAGAAGTCACATAACCGTTCACACGGCCGTTTAAAAAATGGCGGAAACGGTTCGTTTGTTGTAAAACAGCCACATCTGCGGAATATGAGCTGTCTTTCTAATCCATTGTTAATGTCATTATTGTTTCAATTGCACCTCCATTTTTGTACATAATATTCTGATTATAATTTCTTCAATAAAATGTATTTTTAAAAGACTGTTTTATTATTGATAGTAGTTAGTTCCATGAATATGACC